GACGTGTGTCCGTTGGTGCCGCGCCAGTTGGGAGCTATCGGCAAAACGCCGCCCGCATTGGGAGCAGTCGTAGGGTCGTTCGCCGGTGTGGGTCTGCCAATGGCGCACCAGTCCGGAGCTTTTCGTGAAGCTCTTGTGACACTCGGGGCACTCGTAGGGCCTTTCGCCCATGTGGGTCCGCCAATGTTGCGCCATTTGGGAGGTGTTGCACCGCAGTCGGGGCAGCGGGAATCTCTTACCGGTGTGAGTGCACCAGTAGTTGGTGAGCACGGCACGACTGGAAATGCTCTTCCCATGGGTTGGGTGGAGATGGTTCTGCTTGACGGCATTTCTCCGTTGATGCCACCCCACTTGTGGAGTTCTTGCCCGCATTGGGAGCAACCCTAGGGGGGTTACACGCTGGTGTGGGTCCGCCAGTGCCGTACCAGCTCCGGGTTGCTCTTGAATCTCTTCTGGCACTGGGAGCACTCGTAGGGCCTCTCGGTGCTGTGGACCCGCCTGTGCCCCACCAGTCCCAGGTTGCTCGTGAAGCTCTTGTGACACTCGGTGCACTTGTAGGGCTTCTCGCCGGTGTGGGTACGCCAATGCCTCACCACACCCGAGCTGTTGGTGAAGCTCTTGAGGCCCTCGGGGACCTTGGGTGGTGGGAGGAAGGATGGGGACGTGGTGGGAGGAAGGATGGGGACGTGGTGGGAGGAAGGATGGGGACGTGGTGGGAGGAAGGATGGGGACGTGGTGGGAGGAAGGATGGGGACGTGGTGGGAGGAAGGATGGGGACGTGGTGGGAGGAAGGATGGGGACGTGGTGGGAGGAAGGATGGGGACGTGGTGGGAGGAAGGATGGGGACGTGGTGGGAGGAAGGATGGGGACGTGGTGGGAGGAAGGATGGGGACGTGGTGGGAGGAAGGATGGGGACGTGGTGGGAGGAAGGATGGGGACGTGGTGGGAGGAAGGATGGGGACGTGGTGGGAGGAAGGATGGGGACGTGGTGGGAGGAAGGATGGGGACGTGGTGGGAGGAAGGATGGGGACGTGGTGGGAGGAAGGATGGGGACGTGGTGGGAGGAAGGATGGGGACGTGGTGGGAGGAAGGATGGGGACGTGGTGGGAGGAAGGATGGGGACGTGGTGGGAGGAAGGATGGGGACGTGGTGGGAGGAAGGATGGGGACGTGGTGGGAGGAAGGATGGGGACGTGGTGGGAGGAAGGATGGGGACGTGGTGGGAGGAAGGATGGGGACGTGGTGGGAGGAAGGATGGGGACGTGGTGGGAGGAAGGATGGGGACGTGGTGGGAGGAAGGATGGGGACGTGGTGGGAGGAAGGATGGGGACGTGGTGGGAGGAAGGATGGGGACGTGGTGGGAGGAAGGATGGGGACGTGGTGGGAGGAAGGATGGGGACGTGGTGGGAGGAAGGATGGGGACGTGGTGGGAGGAAGGATGGGGACGTGGTGGGAGGAAGGATGGGGACGTGGTGGGAGGAAGGATGGGGACGTGGTGGGAGGAAGGATGGGGACGTGGTGGGAGGAAGGATGGGGACGTGGTGGGAGGAAGGATGGGGACGTGGTGGGAGGAAGGATGGGGACGTGGTGGGAGGAAGGATGGGGACGTGGTGGGAGGAAGGATGGGGACGTGGTGGGAGGAAGGATGGGGACGTGGTGGGAGGAAGGATGGGGACGTGGTGGGAGGAAGGATGGGGACGTGGTGGGAGGAAGGATGGGGACGTGGTGGGAGGAAGGATGGGGACGTGGTGGGAGGAAGGATGGGGACGTGGTGGGAGGAAGGATGGGGACGTGGTGGGAGGAAGGATGGGGACGTGGTGGGAGGAAGGATGGGGACGTGGTGGGAGGAAGGATGGGGACGTGGTGGGAGGAAGGATGGGGACGTGGTGGGAGGAAGGATGGGGACGTGGTGGGAGGAAGGATGGGGACGTGGTGGGAGGAAGGATGGGGACGTGGTGGGAGGAAGGATGGGGACGTGGTGGGAGGAAGGATGGGGACGTGGTGGGAGGAAGGATGGGGACGTGGTGGGAGGAAGGATGGGGACGTGGTGGGAGGAAGGATGGGGACGTGGTGGGAGGAAGGATGGGGACGTGGTGGGAGGAAGGATGGGGACGTGGTGGGAGGAAGGATGGGGACGTGGTGGGAGGAAGGATGGGGACGTGGTGGGAGGAAGGATGGGGACGTGGTGGGAGGAAGGATGGGGACGTGGTGGGAGGAAGGATGGGGACGTGGTGGGAGGAAGGATGGGGACGTGGTGGGAGGAAGGATGGGGACGTGGTGGGAGGAAGGATGGGGACGTGGTGGGAGGAAGGATGGGGACGTGGTGGGAGGAAGGATGGGGACGTGGTGGGAGGAAGGATGGGGACGTGGTGGGAGGAAGGATGGGGACGTGGTGGGAGGAAGGATGGGGACGTGGTGGGAGGAAGGATGGGGACGTGGTGGGAGGAAGGATGGGGACGTGGTGGGAGGAAGGATGGGGACGTGGTGGGAGGAAGGATGGGGACGTGGTGGGAGGAAGGATGGGGACGTGGTGGGAGGAAGGATGGGGACGTGGTGGGAGGAAGGATGGGGACGTGGTGGGAGGAAGGATGGGGACGTGGTGGGAGGAAGGATGGGGACGTGGTGGGAGGAAGGATGGGGACGTGGTGGGAGGAAGGATGGGGACGTGGTGGGAGGAAGGATGGGGACGTGGTGGGAGGAAGGATGGGGACGTGGTGGGAGGAAGGATGGGGACGTGGTGGGAGGAAGGATGGGGACGTGGTGGGAGGAAGGATGGGGACGTGGTGGGAGGAAGGATGGGGACGTGGTGGGAGGAAGGATGGGGACGTGGTGGGAGGAAGGATGGGGACGTGGTGGGAGGAAGGATGGGGACGTGGTGGGAGGAAGGATGGGGACGTGGTGGGAGGAAGGATGGGGACGTGGTGGGAGGAAGGATGGGGACGTGGTGGGAGGAAGGATGGGGACGTGGTGGGAGGAAGGATGGGGACGTGGTGGGAGGAAGGATGGGGACGTGGTGGGAGGAAGGATGGGGACGTGGTGGGAGGAAGGATGGGGACGTGGTGGGAGGAAGGATGGGGACGTGGTGGGAGGAAGGATGGGGACGTGGTGGGAGGAAGGATGGGGACGTGGTGGGAGGAAGGATGGGGACGTGGTGGGAGGAAGGATGGGGACGTGGTGGGAGGAAGGATGGGGACGTGGTGGGAGGAAGGATGGGGACGTGGTGGGAGGAAGGATGGGGACGTGGTGGGAGGAAGGATGGGGACGTGGTGGGAGGAAGGATGGGGACGTGGTGGGAGGAAGGATGGGGACGTGGTGGGAGGAAGGATGGGGACGTGGTGGGAGGAAGGATGGGGACGTGGTGGGAGGAAGGATGGGGACGTGGTGGGAGGAAGGATGGGGACGTGGTGGGAGGAAGGATGGGGACGTGGTGGGAGGAAGGATGGGGACGTGGTGGGAGGAAGGATGGGGACGTGGTGGGAGGAAGGATGGGGACGTGGTGGGAGGAAGGATGGGGACGTGGTGGGAGGAAGGATGGGGACGTGGTGGGAGGAAGGATGGGGACGTGGTGGGAGGAAGGATGGGGACGTGGTGGGAGGAAGGATGGGGACGTGGTGGGAGGAAGGATGGGGACGTGGTGGGAGGAAGGATGGGGACGTGGTGGGAGGAAGGATGGGGACGTGGTGGGAGGAAGGATGGGGACGTGGTGGGAGGAAGGATGGGGACGTGGTGGGAGGAAGGATGGGGACGTGGTGGGAGGAAGGATGGGGACGTGGTGGGAGGAAGGATGGGGACGTGGTGGGAGGAAGGATGGGGACGTGGTGGGAGGAAGGATGGGGACGTGGTGGGAGGAAGGATGGGGACGTGGTGGGAGGAAGGATGGGGACGTGGTGGGAGGAAGGATGGGGACGTGGTGGGAGGAAGGATGGGGACGTGGTGGGAGGAAGGATGGGGACGTGGTGGGAGGAAGGATGGGGACGTGGTGGGAGGAAGGATGGGGACGTGGTGGGAGGAAGGATGGGGACGTGGTGGGAGGAAGGATGGGGACGTGGTGGGAGGAAGGATGGGGACGTGGTGGGAGGAAGGATGGGGACGTGGTGGGAGGAAGGATGGGGACGTGGTGGGAGGAAGGATGGGGACGTGGTGGGAGGAAGGATGGGGACGTGGTGGGAGGAAGGATGGGGACGTGGTGGGAGGAAGGATGGGGACGTGGTGGGAGGAAGGATGGGGACGTGGTGGGAGGAAGGATGGGGACGTGGTGGGAGGAAGGATGGGGACGTGGTGGGAGGAAGGATGGGGACGTGGTGGGAGGAAGGATGGGGACGTGGTGGGAGGAAGGATGGGGACGTGGTGGGAGGAAGGATGGGGACGTGGTGGGAGGAAGGATGGGGACGTGGTGGGAGGAAGGATGGGGACGTGGTGGGAGGAAGGATGGGGACGTGGTGGGAGGAAGGATGGGGACGTGGTGGGAGGAAGGATGGGGACGTGGTGGGAGGAAGGATGGGGACGTGGTGGGAGGAAGGATGGGGACGTGGTGGGAGGAAGGATGGGGACGTGGTGGGAGGAAGGATGGGGACGTGGTGGGAGGAAGGATGGGGACGTGGTGGGAGGAAGGATGGGGACGTGGTGGGAGGAAGGATGGGGACGTGGTGGGAGGAAGGATGGGGACGTGGTGGGAGGAAGGATGGGGACGTGGTGGGAGGAAGGATGGGGACGTGGTGGGAGGAAGGATGGGGACGTGGTGGGAGGAAGGATGGGGACGTGGTGGGAGGAAGGATGGGGACGTGGTGGGAGGAAGGATGGGGACGTGGTGGGAGGAAGGATGGGGACGTGGTGGGAGGAAGGATGGGGACGTGGTGGGAGGAAGGATGGGGACGTGGTGGGAGGAAGGATGGGGACGTGGTGGGAGGAAGGATGGGGACGTGGTGGGAGGAAGGATGGGGACGTGGTGGGAGGAAGGATGGGGACGTGGTGGGAGGAAGGATGGGGACGTGGTGGGAGGAAGGATGGGGACGTGGTGGGAGGAAGGATGGGGACGTGGTGGGAGGAAGGATGGGGACGTGGTGGGAGGAAGGATGGGGACGTGGTGGGAGGAAGGATGGGGACGTGGTGGGAGGAAGGATGGGGACGTGGTGGGAGGAAGGATGGGGACGTGGTGGGAGGAAGGATGGGGACGTGGTGGGAGGAAGGATGGGGACG